GGCGTGTCAGGAAGGACCTGCACGATCTAGAGAGAGAGGTCCAGCGATATAAGAGAGAGCCTCTAGATCATGAAGCCTATCAAGCAGGTCTGAATAGCATTCATACTGATGCAGTCGCAGAGGTAGTCAATAATTACAGTATGAATGCCATACTCGGAGTCCACCCCCCATCCATTGCAGCTGAAGAACGTCGGCTGCCTAGGCAAACCAGGGTAGTTTTGGCCCAACTACGTTCAGGATGGTGCAGCCGTCTCAATTCGTATTGGGCACGAATTGATGAGGATGTGCGGAACGCCTGCCCAGCGTGTGATACAGGCCCGCACAACACGCTGCATTTGTTTAATTGTCCTGCCAAGCCTACCCAACTCCGTCCAGAGGATCTATGGCTACAGCCCATAAAGGTAGCAGAATTCCTAAACCTGGACATTGAGGAAGAACCAGATTAGTCGGAAAAAACAACAGAACGTGTAAAACTGCTACAACAACAACAACAACAACTGTAGGCTTCATATTTTTGGCAAGGAGCGCTTCAATTGCCTTTTCCCACAAATAAGGTCTGCCATCTGAACCAAAAAGGTTGAATTTGTTCTCGTGCGAGTTTAGCTTTTACATAAACATTTGGTGAGTTTTACAATAAATTCCATTATTTTGTTACATAAATATAAAAAAAATCATATATTGCATGAAAGAAAATTGTTTGCTAAGTGTACGAGTTTCACTTGGAGCTACTGTATATTCTTGATTTAAGTACATTTTTATACTGGTAAAAACAAAACCTTGATTTGAAATTAAATTTAGCATAGTTTTGGTGGCACAAAGTTAAGGTGAAACTCAAGTATGAGTTCACAACGTGTTCGTGATTTTGAGAGTACAACGCACGCGCCCCAACAGTTTAATGGCAATAAGCCAATAATGGCAAATATAACACCTTAAAAAAAGCAATGAAATTACAAAAAATATTTTAGCAACAAACAAATTCTTGATAAATTTCATACTTGTATTCACATGCATTGTTTACAGGGAGAATCCATTTCTTCTCCTCACCCCACCCACCTCTTGCCGAAAAAAGCAATCAAACGCACGAATTATGTACATAGCAGATAAAAAAGACAAACAAATTTTTAATTTTCGTTAAAATTTCGTTTAACAACCTTAAAAGGCACAACAAAGAGACAAATTACTGAGCACAAAAGTGTTAACTGAGAAATCCGAAAAAAATTCAATTTACCCTGAGACAAAAATGAACAGTTATTAAAGAATTCTCAGAGAAATCACCAATTAATGAGAAAGAACATAATTAAATGTATGGTTTAATGAGAGGCTTTTGTTTGAACTGAGAATGAGAGAGAGAGCTAGGGCCAACTGTTATTTATGTGACAAACCACAAAAAATTGTTAAGATAACCGAAAGTGGATAAACCGCCGCAATGTCGTAAAAACGTCAACGCTTAACGTTGCCGACAACGAACGAATCGAAACACAAGATGGAATTACAAAAAAGGTAAATAAATATTGACTGTGTTTTTCGGTAGTCGTACTCACAAAAAATAGAAAATAAAAAATCACATTAATTGAGAAGAATATAAACAACAACACTCACCGAAATTTAACTTGAATGAATAATAGAGTTAACGCTGCTACTTTTTCATCTAAAACATGGAGGTATATGGGATTTTTTGAATTTGGTGATATTTGAAGCTTTGCGCTAAACAAGGAAATACAGTAGCTCCAAGGAAAATTAGCAAACTATTATTTTTTATGCTATATATGATTGTCATCAAATTCACTACCAGAAGAAACCTATGTTTTTTTATAAGTGTAATAGAAGGAGCCGTAGATAATAGAACTAGCCTACGGTAACCTGTTTCGAACTGAATCTAACTTCACGCGATTGTTGGAAAATGTATTCGGGGAAGTCCCTTAAAGCTAATTTATCACAAATTTAAACGTGTTGTGTAATTTACTGTCGTAAATAGCAAAAAAAAAAAAAAAATAAAAATGGGAAGACACTTAGGACAAGCCACTGTTGAAGTGAGAAATGTAGTATTTAAATATTACAAAAACCATAAATCGTTGAGTGAGATATCTGAGATTGTTAATAGAAGCCGATCTACAGTTCAGCATATCATAAAACGGTTCAAAACAGATGGATGTGTAGAAGATAAGTAAACAAAAAACGGCAAATAATAAAATATTTACCTTGAATGATGAGAAATATGTTTTCGGTATTTCAAAAAGGATCCATTTTTGAGTGCACCGCAGCTAGCAAAAATTGCTGAAAAGGATTTGGGAAAAATATGTTGCCCTCAAACAATAAGAAATACTCGTATACTGCATATGTCGAATAACAAGAGAAGAAGAACTAGACATAAATCAGCAAGCGAAATCAAGAAGTAAAATTGCGATTTGCCAAGGAGCACATATCAAAAGATCTTTAATTTTGGAAGAATGTGCTGTTCACAGAAGAGAGCAAATTCCATCTTTTTGGTTCAGATGGCAGATGGAGAAAGGCAAATGAAGCGCTCCTTGCCAAAAATATGAAGCCTACAGGAAAGCGCGGTGGTGGGTCAGCAATGGTGTGGGGTTCATTTTCAGCCTCTGGGTCTGGTGTATTGGATTTTATTGAGGGCATTATGGATCAGACTATGTACCTTAAGATTTTGAAAGAAAGTTTGCCACTCTGTAAGGAAATGCTCGGCCTTGGCGGAGATTGTTATTTTTGCTATCAAGACAATGCTCCGAAACACAAGGCTTATAAAGTGCGGTCATGGCTGCTATATAATTGTCCCCTCATCCTGGATACACCAGACCAGGGTCCAGACATATGCTTTATAGGGGATTTATGGAGCTATCTCGATGGAAAAATCGGCCAGCATACTATATCTTGCAAAGAAGATTTGAAAAAGAAGATTTGTTGAAAGATTGGCAAAAAATTGAACCCAGCTTTTTCATTCAGTTACACTAAATTTGACGGAGACATTTTTTCTTTAATACCAACTAACAATGCTATAGAGTGCATGATACTGCTTCGAGAAGGATTATATTTAAAAAATATGTATCGGATCCGAGATCCGCTAAATGGAAATGTACGCTGCAAAATTCAATTCATTTGGACTGATATTAGCCACTATTTGCACAGTAAACCCGAAATCGGATTAAGGATATATATGGGAGCTATATCCAAATCTTAGCCGATCTCGATAAAATTTGGCAAATGTATTTACGAGCTCTAAAAGATATCTGGTACTATTGTTGTCGAATGCATATTACGAATGTGAGGGACTTAAACACCATATCGGATGAAACATATATATGGGAGCTATAGCTATATCTGAACAGATTTTCAACAAATTTGATGTACGAGCTTATAGACTGATTTCCGTCAGATGTGCCAACATTTAAGTCATGTGGACTGATATTGGCCATTTGGTGCACAATTAGCCCGATGTCGGTTGAAGATATATAGGGGAGCTATATCTAAATCTGAACCGATCTTGATACAATTTGGCAGAGGTATTTCTGGGCTGTATCCAAACACCATTTTTGTGAGGTACATATTACGAATGTAAGGGACTTAATGAAACACACGTATGAGAGCTACGGCTATATCTGAGTCGATTCTCATAAAATTTGAAGAACTTGTTTGTAAGATGAATTCAGTCGGATGTCCCAAACCGAAATCGATTGAAGATAAATATGGGAGCTATATCTAAATTTGAACCGATTCTCACCAATTTCAATAGGTTTCGGGCCCAACAAATATTGTTTGAAAACTTTCATCTCAATCGGATAATAAATGTGACTTGAATCGGATAATAAATGAAGGACGGACGGGCAGAAGAAGATCCTCAAAAGTAACAATGGGTCTATCTCGCTTCCTTCTCCATGTTACCAATAAATCCACAAAGACATAATACCCTTACCACTATGTGGTGTTGGGTATAAATACAAATCAGATAAAACAATTGAAAGTAAGTTCAGGAGTGGACGTTCCCTGAAACTTATAGATGCACATGAGAGCAAAATTGTTAGAAAGTTAAGAAAAATCTACGAGTTAATGTATCAACCTTAACTATCCAGGAATATGCAAGCGATGCAGACAATAAAAATTATTTTATGAAAAAAAAACACCAATTTCCTGAACGATCAGCTAGGAAAAAGAATCGAAATACGCGATTAGAGTTCGTAAAAATGTTTGCAAATAGGCCACTAAAGTGGTGGATGAATGTAATTTTTGCCGATGAGAGCAAAAATATAATCCTTTTGGATGTGATGTCAAGGTAATGGTATATCGAAAGCCAAGTACAGAGTTAGAGGAGAGAAATATGGTCTGGGGATGTATAGCGGCATAAGAAGTGGGTAATTTATCATTCGTTGATGGAATTATTGATCATTTGAAATATATTGACCTTCTAAAGGCAAATTTACTGACTAGCGCAGAAAAGTTTGGACTTGTGGGAAAATTTAAATATTATAAATGTAATGACGCTTAAAAATCTGCAATAAATACAAAACTGCCCTAAAGTGATTAAAATACCGCCACAATTTCCAAATCTATCCTGGAGACAATACAAGTGTTTACAAATAAAAACCAAATGAAAGATATCCTTCAGTAAGAATGGTGCAAGATTGATCCAGGATACACAATGTCATTGGTAAAATCTATTTCTGAACGTTTGAAAGAAGTTGAGCGACGTAAAGGTAAAACAACTGGTTTTTAAATTTAAGCTGTAAATATTAGTTTTTTTTTTTTAAGATCTTACTTTTTTGTACTGAATTGACATTGTTGTTCCTTAATAAAAAAGTATGTTAATATTAACACTAAACAAAATCTAATTATTTTTATTATTATTTTTTGAAAATATAGTAATGTTATCTAGATGTTCCCTAAAGAACAAATTAAAAAAAAAAAAAACTCGGCAACCCTATTCACATTTTAACTCATATTTTGTTCCATGAAAACGTATGCAAAGTATCAACACTTGTATGATAAAGGTCGACCATTTAACAGTCTAGCCAAAAGAGAAACAGACAGAGAAATAAATTGAGCTAGACACACAGGTAAAATAAATGTTTAACGGTTTACTCACCTTTAAGACGGCCACCAGCCCGTATGGGGAGAGTGAGAGAACTTATAAAGCGAAGAAAACAAAAACAACCCACCGTTGAACCAATTGAACAGAGTCAAGCAAGTAAATACCAAAGCCGAGACCATTGAGTGTGTATGGGTTTTGGCCACAAAGCTTGAGTTAGGTAACTGGTGCTAACAAAATATAAAAAAACAACAACGACAGCGACAGACAAAAGGTCCAACAAAAACAGAAACAAAAAAATAAAATATAAAAATTCAAGCTGCCTCTAAAGCTGGGTGTGACTTTAAAATACAAATTCAGTTGCTGTTCGACACTTAAAAAAAGTAGGCAAAAAACAGAATACGGCTAAATTTCGAATTGAAACGGAAAAACGGTGGATGAAGCAGAAGTGGAAACGGGCCAAAAAAATATTTTGTTAATAATAGAAATAAAAAAAATAGAAAATAGAGAATTAAGTGTGGCAGAATATAATGGAAAAATTATATAACTGCAATGAAAATGTGTTGATATAAAGCTGGAAAACTAAAAAAAGAAAAACAAAAATTCTCCACCAAGTGCCTAAAAAATAATTTTTATAAAAAAATCTGTTACAAATTAAAAAAAGAACCATAAAACGGAACACATCACAACATATTTCACACGTACTTCCCCCTCTCTTTAAGTTCTCACACTCTCTCTCTCTCTCTGTTTGGTCATAAGTAAAGTAAACTAAACTCCCTCTCCTTGCTGTGTTCGCTTCGTATTTGTGATCATGTCCACCAGTGATTTAAATCATACCGTTACTCAACATCCTTTGCAGGATGTTGATTTATCGGAACCCCCAACAAACACATCTCCCTTTGCAAGCAATGAAAATATTTCTCCAGCAACAACAACAACTGCCACAGCAGCACCTACAAAAAATGTGAATAAAGAAAATTGGGTTAAATTCGATGACGACGTCAATGAAGGTATTTTAGGTACCAACAATAAGAACACAAAACATGATAACGAGAATGCAGGCAGCACTGCAACGACTGCAGTTGACGCTGCGTCAACGGCAAACAGGTTAACACCATCACCCCTACCACCACCAACCAATGCTAAGAGAAATTCAGCTAACGTGGTTGCCGCTGCGGGGCCCGCGGCACGTCCACGAACTCCAACTCAATTGGAGAGCGGCCCGATACAACAGCTGCATGTGGCTCAATTGGATGCGTCAACATCACCTGTGCAGCAACAACAACAACAGGTAAGAGGAATTACAAAAAAAAAAAAAGAAAAGAAACACAAAATGTTGAGAATATGAATGAAAAGAATTGAAATGATTAAAAAAAAAACAACGCAAATGGAAAGATAAACAATAAATTGTTTTGTTGTTTTCGTAGAGAAATATTTCTATTATCTCTCTCTCTTCTTCATTGGGAGAGTTGGCAGAAGATCATCATGAGAAATAATACAGATACCATAACAGTGGAAATGTTGTTCTGTTTTTGTGAGGGGCAGATAATAAAAACATGTGCTTCTCGAAATAAAAAATAGGATTGGGAAAATTTGTATAATAATTTTTATTTTCTTGATTGCAACTAATTTATCTACAAGGTGGCGCAAAGGTAAACTTCCGATGTTTTTGGCTGTAAAAAAAAAATTAAAAACGTTAATTCTTCTTGTGGTTTATTTTATTTGGACTTTTAGTTTTTTTTCACCTCAAGTCCAGATAAATGGCGCTGCCACAGTTTATTGTCATTTGAGCAGTTTTTATGGAATTTTCCATCACTTTGGCCAAAACTTCCGACGATAAGTTCTCACATTCTTGACGGATATTGTCTTTAAGAGCTAAAAGAGTCTGAGGCTTGTTGACATAAACCTGCGACTTCAAAAAGCCCCATAAAAAGAAGTCTACAGCGGTCAAATCAGGTGATTTTGCTGGCCAGTGCAAATCGCCAAAACGGGAGATTCACCATTCACAGTAATCATTTCGCCCGTGACTTCTTCAAAGAAAATGACTCCTCCAGCGAAAACAACACATCATATATTAATTTTGAGCAGCTGTAATGGCTCTTTGTGGGTTCCTCGCCGATTTTTAGTGCCCTAGAAGCGAAAATTTTGCTTATTTACGAACCCGCTAAGATGGAAATGGGCCTCATCACTCATGATTATTTTTGATAAAAATGAATCATCGTTTTCTTGGTGGTGATTAAAGATGGCTTGAGCGTATGTTAGACGCGATTGGCAGTCAACAGCTGATGCACCATCTGGACCTTGTACGGAAACATCTTCAAATCTTGCGCCAAAAATTCGCTAAAGACAGTCGACTGTCGATAGCCATTTCAAAACAGAACTGACATTAGTTGCCAATCGTAAAATATGTATATAGCATTCCTGATAGCAGAATTACTTTTGCGCCATCTTATATAAAGTTCGTCGCTGTATTCATTTTCACTCGGCGGAGATGTTTTGAAAAAAACGTATATCAATCGTCCAGATGTCTAGTTGGTTATTAATACCAATCTAGCTTGAGGTTGTTACAGTGTATGTTTTTGTCGTATATATTTAGTATTCTTAGTGTGCTTTCGAGTTCCGGTCCCTTTACTATACAAAATATTTCGTCCAGGTATTTCGTTAATAATCTCGGTTTCGTCGCCATCTTTTCTACGGATACGTTCAATAATAATAATCCATTACTACGTCAGCTATGATCGGCGACATTGGGGAACCCATTGGAAGTCTTTTTGGTTGTTCGTACACCTTGTCTTGATATACAAAGTATCTGGGGTTTTTTATACAAAAAGAGTCAATATTTCCAAAAATAATTTTTTTTGGAATTTTTGGATAGTATTTGTTTATATTCCATTTTCAGCGACTGTTTTTAGTGCTAAATTTATTGGGATGCTGTGGAACAACGACACTACGTGAAATGATATTAATTTTTTGTTTTTTTTTTCTATTTTGACATTGTTAATTTTAGATTTAAAATCTGCACTGCATCCTTAAGGTTTTATCTTTCTTATATATAAAATACTCTTCATAAGTATAAAATACTCTTCTTAAATATAAAATACTCCTCTTAAGTATAAAATGCTCTTCCTTAATATAAAAAAACTCTTTTTAATAGAAAATATTAATTTGTCGTTCTCAAATTAAATAAATTTCTTCTGGAAGAGAATTGTTATAAATAAAATCGTGGCATTTCTTGTCAGCTAACATTTTTCGTGGATCCATACAAATGTCGCTATCGCGGTTTAAGGAACACATATTTTCGTGTTTTACAACTCTGGCTACATTGAGTGTAGCAACGTTTTGGTCATTGCCACGAATTCTTCCTCTTCTACCGGACATTCCATTTCGCTACGAAGAATGATTAATTCTGACTGTATGTCATGTTCATATTGCGTGGTAGGGGTTTTGGTAGATGTCCAGGAACAAGGGTTTCCAGCTTTCCATGGAAACCCTTGTTCCATGTTATGCAAAATGTCTTCTATCATAAAAACATACTCGCATATTTAAAAGTTGTCATCATCTTCCATATAAATTATTTCGATTTAGGGAAAATTTGAGAAATTTCTGGACTTCAACTGCTCTGTTTCAAGAAATATTTTTATACCCTCCACCATGGGTAGGAGGGTATATTAACTTTGTCATTCCGTTTGTAACACCTCTAAATATTCGTCGTAGACCCCATAAAGTATATATATTCATAATCAGCATAAAATTCTAAGACGATTTAGCGATGTCCGTCTGTCTGTCCGTCTGTCTGTCTGTTGAAATCACGATAGAGCACACATTATTTGACGTAGACCTTTGAAATTTGGCACAAGTGTGTGTATTGTCCCTAGGATGGTTGGTATTGAAAATGAGATATATCGGTCCACGTTCTGGTATAGTCCCCATATAACGGTACCTCCCGATATTCGGTATTTTGATGATTTATGCCACATTTTTTCACGGATTTATCTGAAAATTGGTATTTGTAGGTCATGACGGGTCCCTGAGCGTGTGGCAAAACATTGCATGTATAGGTCCACGTTCTGGTATAGTCCCCATATAACGGTACCTCCCGATATTCGGTATTTTGATGATTTATGCCATATTTTTTCACTGATTTGTGTAAAAGTTGGTATTTGTGGGTCATAATGGGTCCTAGGTCGTGTGGCGAAACATTGTAATTATAGGTGCACGTGTTGGTGTAGCCCCTATATAACGGTACCTCCCGATATTCGCATTTTAATGTTTTTTGCAACATTTTTTCTAATGTTCTTTTACCCTAGGGTGGAGGGTATTAAAAGTTTGGCCCGGCCGAACTTAATGTTTTTTTACTTGTTTTATTTAAATACCACAATGGTTTTCCATACAGGACTTACATTCTTTCCTTTGCCCTGAACTTCTATATTTAAATTATTCAATATAATTGAAATATCTGTTAAGAATGCCAGTTTCAATAAAAACTCTTGATCTTTCATTATTAGGCATTCTTCAACATTTTTCAATTCTAAAAATGTATGCCTGAGTTCAAAGAAGCGGTTAAGACACTGTCCGCGACTAAGCCACCTCACTCCTGTGAAAAGTTTCAGATCCGTATGTGTGGCACCCTTTCGTTTTAAGAAACTAACGAATTTTCTATGATTTAATAAGTTATATCCTATACGGATTTTATTTAGAATTTTTCGCCTAGCTTCATTGAGGGGTGTTCTGATATAAATTTGGCAGCAAGTGTAAATTGGTGAATTAGGCAATGAAAACTATTAAAGTCATAATAATTTGTTAAAAGTTGTACAATTACCACCCATGACTTGCTCCGTCTATACAAACTCCAGCTAGAGACAAAAGTTTTTCACTTTTACATTGGCATGCATAGGCTCTATCTTAAATACTGTTTCAAATATGTTATATTCGGCATCTACGCATCTAATACAAATAGCTAGATGAAAAACGTCATATGTATGAAAAAAAGATCACAGATATTTTTTTTGAATTATAGATCCTTGAATTTATGACCCGAGCAACAGTATGCCGACACAGGGGCAGAGATTCAGCAAAACTTATACCATGCTTGATTTTAACCATCATATTATGAGCAATATCCTTTGTTTATGGACCACCCGAAAATGGGTTCAATTGACGTACAATATATAGGCTTATTATCTTAGAAAGGTTTTTTTAATGCCTTATCAACCTGAAATATGAAACACAATATTGGTGTTGACGGTGGGATACTTATGACCCTGAAGATATTTTGTAGATTCTTCAAATAACTCGAAAAATTTTAAAAATTCTTCCGTTCATTTTTTCCATTTCATTTATTACAAATGCAGATTTTCCAATTTCCTTGATGTTTTTGTGGAAACTTTTAAACATAGTGCACAGTGTATTCCATTGAGTATCATTAGAATTTTGTAAAGTTCACAGAGATTGTGTTCGGAAGAGTGTTTCATCTGCATCATCAATGTCGATTAGAAATTGTTGTTCCGTTTCCATTATATCACGCATTTCCGCGGCTTCATTAAAAAAAGTATAGAAGTGTTTCATTTTCATATGCATTTTGGATTATATTTTCAGAATAATAATTATATCACTCTTCAATTTGCCTACCATATTTGCAAAAATGGAAAAATCTTTATTGTTAAATACGTCGTGGACTATAAACCTATGTAAGGAATGTACCGAACATTGCAATCGGTTCATATTTCTAAGTTTTAAATAGGCCACAATGTTGCTTCCTCCGTCACTAACAACAACAATCTCCTTTTAATTCTAATGCAAACTTTTCAAAAAATTCATATATATTACGACAAATGGTTTGCCTATTATGAGGATGGTTTTTTTGTTTTTTTTTTATGTCTTTTATATATCCAAAAGATCCTGTTCGTTCCAATATATTAAAAGGTCTTAAATTTCTGCGGAACCTATGTACGAGCAGACGTGCGTTATCAAATTTTTCGATATCTGATTTTTCCAAAAATTGTGATTTTCGAAATAAAGCAATTTTTTGTTTTTTCTTATTAAAAAAAGACACGTGCTATTAAAAGTGTAACCGCATTCGCCAAAAACAGAAAATGTATTTCAGTATTGCCACATTGCAAAAATATGTGGAATGCATTTTTCAACAGATTTTACAAAATTCCATAATTTTTTTGAACATTTTCAATTCCAAATTTGGTTGAACAGCTTGGTCGATTTGATTACCTGTATTCTTCTTCCATGGTTTATAATGTTACAAACTTAAACGGTGGTTGCATCTAAGCCGATTGGAGC